CCTGTCAGGAATTACACTCGGGCCCATGCCCACCACCGTGGTTACCTGCTCTGGCCCCTGACAAACGCAGGACAAAGTGGTCAGTGTGCTTGATTCACTCTTCAGAAGAGTTGTGGGGATGCTGTGGCCACCCCCGATTTCTCGGGACTGCCTCTGTCCTGCAGTATTTGAGCTGCTGAGAAGTGAAAGAGGAGTGGAGTGCAAGTCTTTCTTCAAATCAGCATGGAGAACCTTTCTATAAATGTTTATGTATCTGTTTCCTTTAGATGTAAACCCTCAGAAGAATTTCTTAATGCATGCCGGACCTTGAGCCAACATCTGCCGGAAACTGGGACCACCGCCGACCAACTCTTGGTACTCTGCGTTTTCCTTGTCATATAAAGGCTTTCCTGCAGTTAAGCCAGTTAAGCCATTAGCTGGGACTGGGTGACTTTGGCACCTTGCCTGAGGCAGTCGGGGTGTTCTCTGGCTAACCTGACCATCGGTGGGTTGGGTGGAGGGAGTGAAAGCAGTGGGTGTCTGCAGGAGAGCAGGGGGACTCCCACATCTCATGAGCATAGACTCTGGATATCTGCCAGTGTGGCTCAGGTTCAGAATTGACCCAAGGTCTGAGAGTACGTAGGTACAGAGGAAAACACCAACAGAGTGGGAACGGTGGGTTCTGTTTCAAGGACCCTCATCTGTGAGACATGGGAGAGTCAGCTGAATGCTCAGGACCAGGTTCCCTCAGCAGTAAAGTGAGGAAGGCAGCCTGCCTCCATCCCTACAGGCACTGACGCTTAATTCTGTGGTCGGTGCTCATCAAGAGACCAAAAACAAGAAAGTATGTGTGTGTTCCCTCACACCTTCACGCCCGCAGAGATTCAAACATGTAACCACTGGGATCTAATTTCTTTTTTTTTCTAGACAGTCTCACTTTGTCACCCTGAGTAGAGTGTGGTGGCATCACACCTCACAGACAGCATCATCAAACACTTGGGCTGAGGCAATCTTCTTGCCTCAGCCTCCTGGGTACCATGTTTCCATGAAAATAAGACCTACCCCAAAAATAAGCCCTAGCAGGATTTCTATGCATTTGTTAAATACAAGCCCTACCACAATAGTAAGACCTAGTGATGAGCGTGGCTATGTACTATATCTGCATAGCCACACCATGCATTTTGGTGGAGAGGAAGACATCTCCTGAAAATAAGCCCTAGTGTGTCTTCTTGAGAAAAAATAAATAGAAGACAATGTCTTATTTTGGGGAAACATAGTAGCTGGGACTACAGGCGCCTGCCACAATGCCTGGCTATTTTTAGAGACGGGGTCTTGCTCTGGCTCAGGCTGGTCTCACTCCTGAGCTCAAGCAATCCACCCCACCTCAGCCTCCCAGAATGGTAGGATTACAGACGTGAGCCACTGTGCCCGGCCTAACTGGGATCTACTTTCAATCAAGGGACACTGACACAGACACATGTTCCCAAGTTCTGGGAGCACAGTAAGGCCCACAGTGCAACAACCTGTATGCAGTTTTAAAAGCCATTTTGGGCTCGACACCTGTGGCTCAAGTGGCTAAGGCGCCAGCCACATACACCTATGGTGGCAGGTTCGAATCCAGCCC